GTAAAAATGTTTCTTTTAATTGAGTAGCAGCGTGGTATTGTCTTCCCCAAAGAAGTATTTAAAGCAAACTTTATATCCAAATTCAGTGGGGGATGGCTTTATTCAAATTTTGTGGGTTTTGAGGCACCTGGATGACTCAGTTAAGCATCCGACTTTGGGTCAGGTCATGATCTTGCAGTCCATGAGTTTGAGCCCCGCGTCAGGCTCTGGGCTGACAGCTCAGAGCCTGGATCCTGCTTTGGATTCTGTCTCTCCCTCTCTCTCTGCCCTCCCCTGCTTGTGTTCTCTCTAGAGTCTCAAAAATAAACGTTAAAATATGATGGGGTTTTTGTTTGTTTTGTTTTTGCTGAAAGATGTGAAGTGGTTTATTGTACAATATACTCCATTGATTAGGAACTGCCAGATAGTACCTATAACATATTTTATAGTAGTTTGAAAATAGTTCCTCTAAATCACTAAGAAAAAAGATTTTTTTAAAAACAAATGAAAGGTTATCTGTTGAGATTGCATTTAAGCACGGAAAGTTGAGTACTTGTATCAAGTCTTAAGTAGCTATGTTTTAAGGATAAAGAACTTCCCTTTGAAGCCTATTACTTAAAAAGATTGTTTAAAGCATTCTGGTTCCCACTGAATTGTTTTCCCTGTCATTTCCTGTTAAGTGTTTTTCTGTATGGTGTTAGGAAAAATTTATTTATTGGAAACGCTCTTTGTTGCCCCAGGTCCTTTGCACTTGCCTTTGCCCAAGACTGCCTATGCTTTCTAAAGTTGGTGAATTCCTGATTGTCCTTTGTTCACCTTGCATGTCATAAGTGAACCTTCCCTAATGTATTTTAAGGAGAAAGGAGAGGAATGAAACTGGAATCAAAGGAGAAAATCTGCTTTGGGATGATAGAATTAAATCCCTTAAATCTATTACCTCGACAGGTGTGTTTGCTTTTTTTCTTTTTTTTACAGTGTTTATAATTTTTAAAAACTTGTCTTCCCCATTACACCTGAGGTTAGAGATTGTCTTAGTAACTTTGCACTCCTAAGGCCTGGCACATAGTAAGCATTTAATAAATGCTCTTGGGATTAATGAGGAAAGCACTGTCTCTTTTTTTTTTTTTTTTTTTTTTTTTTTTTTGATGTGCATTTTCTCATTCGTTTAATCTTGTTTTCTGGGATTATTTAAATCTCCCACATGCTATGGAAACCTCAAGAAACCTCAACAGTTCTTGGCTTGTCTTCCAGCAGCTCGTGTTAACCTCACTTTCTGTTGTCCCCTGTGAAATGAGGGTGTTCCCCGCAGGTGTGTAGGGATCGGACCACACGGTTCCCGGAGGTCCTTTGTGCACTCAGGGCCTGTGATTTCCTGTTAAACCGTGACCCCCATGACATGTGAGAAGAGGCCTGGCGGAGGACAAGACGGGTTCGGTGCGGGACAGCTGGCGAGGCTGAATGTTGAGGGAAAGAAGGGCCGCAGGGAGAGCTGGCTTAGGGCAGTTACCTTTGGGCAGTTCATCGGGACCCGCGAGCTCCCATCTGGGGTGCAGTGCAGTCCGTGGCAGCGGTGGTCCTGCGAATGTACGTAAGGCATTTGGGGCTTTTCGGATTACGCTTCAAAGATCGTTCTTCGCACACAGCGGGGAGTCTAAAATGTGTTTTCCAGATTCCCGATTCATTGAGAATAAATTGTTTTCCTGAAGGATTATACTAGTTTGCCCTCCCGTGAATGAAAATGCCGGTGTCCGCACCGTTCCCATTCAGTCTTTGCTAACTTGGTGGGAGGATACTGCATTCGTTATGGACTTGGCTTCACCTCCTGCAGCACTTGCCTGGTTTCCCTTTGCCTCTTAATGCAGTCTTTGCTGTGTCTTGACTACCTTTCCGACCTCCAGATTCTCAAGGGCCTTATAAAAACCCACATCGTCTGGTCAGTGCCTTTCTGACCTCCTCCTCCTTGAGCCCCAAGGTCCAATTCAATTACGCCACCTTTGCGGTGCCTCAGCTAGGCCAAGTTACACGCTTGCTTTTGTACTTGGTGCATTTTGTTGGGGTGGTTATCAACTTAACATTCTCAGGGCAGGGAATACTTGTTACCTACTCTACCAGAGAAGTGGGGACAAACTGCAAAGATGACCATCTAGGAGGAGCAGTTAAGACTTCAAGCTGTGTAAAACAAGGTAAGCCAGGAGGGCACGGTGTGTAAAGGGACAGCAGAGGGGAGAACGTTGGTGTTGACATGCGTCTGCTCTCGTTTCGTTGATTATTCCTGGATCTTGTACCCTTGACCCTTTCCGCTTGCTTTTCCTTGACTTCAGCCGGCAAATTAAATGAAGCCGCTTCTCTTGTGCGTGCCTTGTCCCATCTGTAACTTAATTTCCTAGCGCCCCAGTGCAAATCTGGCTTCTGCCCCCACCGTTCCTATGAACCTCCTCTCAAGGGTCACCAAACACGTCAATTTTGATTTTACCTCCTTGATGTTGGACGTGCCAACGACTAACTTTCTGTTCCAGAGGCTTTTGCCATCCTACTTCACCCAGGTTTTTCTACCTGTCTGACTCTGCACCCTGTTTTCTGGCTTCGTGATGCTCTGCATCTGTCTCTATTCTCTGTATTTTCTGCATGACCCAAGCCAGTGGTTCTCAAGTATGGTTCCCCACATGGCATCGACGTTTTTTGGAAATTCGTTAAGAATGTGGGCCTACTGACTCAAATTCTGGGGCTGGGCCCAGCACTCTTCACAGCCTCTCTGGGTGGTTGAGATGCTTGCTCAAGTTTGAGTCCTCTCTAATACACTTGAGACTCAAATTTCAGAGCTCACATTCTCTGAAGCCCCGACTGTATTTCCAGCTTCCTCTTGGGGAGCTCCATCTTGATATCCTGCATAGACTACCCAGATTCATTTGGAGGGGTTTTATTACTGGTGAAATAAATTGCATCCAATTCCCTGAGCTTTGAGTAATGTGTGTGTGCACTGGTAGATTACGTACCCGCCTTGAAATGCAGGTCCTTTTAAAAACGAGTAATTGGGGGCGCCTGGGTGGCTCAGTCGGTTGAGCGTCCGACTTCAGCTGAGGTCACGATCATGCGGTCCATGAGTTCGAGCCCCGCGTCGGGCTCTGGGCTGATGGCTTGGAGCCTGGAGCCTGCTTCTGATTCTGTGTCTCCCTCGCTCTCTGCCCCTCCCCCGGTCATGCTCTGTCTCTCTCTCAAAAATAAATGTTAAAAAAAATTTTTTTTAATAAAATAAATAAAAACGAGTAATTGTTACAGGTTGTGAAATTGTAAGTGAATCTCTTACCATGCAATTCCCTTTTCGTACACTTGATAAGAATGAAGGAAAATGTTCTAACTAAAACTTTTCACCCTGTTTTTCAGTTAGAGCCATGACCATAAGTGAAGGTGCCTGGCTCCTTGAACTTTTAATTCTTTTCTCATCTAGCTAGGTGTCTTTTAAGGCCTCTGTTTTTGTTCAGTTGAGCCCAATCCCGAGGGTTGAATAAAATTTGTCATACTCTGTGGTAGTGGGGAAAAAAAACCCCACGGTTTGATACCTCTTTGATGTTCTCACTAATGTCTATAGCATCTTCTCTGTACTCTGGTGGGAAAAGAAATAGGAAAAATATAAACAATGTTGCTAAAATATAAACAAAGCAGGTTTATTTTTTGAGCGCAAGAGAAATAATTTTAAACAATTGGTTTTGGAAGACCAGTATTTGTCCCATCCCCACTGAAAAGGAAAACAGTTGGTATTGTTCGACAATACCAATACAATACTTCACGGAATGTGCTCGACAGGTTATTTGGTTATGAGTAACAGTGAGGCAGCGTCTGCTTGCTGTTCTTGCTGAGGTGGAAAGTGTGTGCAGAGGAGGGAGTAAGCAGCCCGGGGTTTCTGTGTTGTGATTCTTTTCAAACTGCCAGAGTGTGTGGTGAGGAGTAACCGACAGGCTAGCTCATAAAGCCCCAAATGGGAAAAGCACAGAGAAAATGCTCTCATACGTCCTTGGCTAGCAAGACTGGAATGTATGGAAATCATTTGACTTGGAAAAGAAAGGCAGTGAGGTACTCTGTTGTCTCTGAAATGGGGTGATGATGATGGCTCAGCTCAAGGGAAGATGCGATTGAACTTTTTGCTCCTGAGCCAGAAGGAGATCCAGAAGAATTGCTTCTGGGAGATGAGAAAGTAAATAGTTTCAAGATCCTTGGGAGCAGAGATGATACTCTGTTTTTCACATGTTCCTAGCACTGACAGTTACATATTGTTCCCTCCTTGAGAGCAGTTCAGTGGTTTTCCATGGGCTCCAGATACATTCCCGAGGGAGGGTAGCATTCATTGCCATCCGTGGCGGGGTCGCCACCTTCTTGGATCACGCTACATCCGAATATTGGAGTCTGCCAGCTCCCCGAACTTGAATTATACTTTCTACCTCCATGGCTTTGCTCATGCTCTTCCTTCAGCTTGACATGCTATCTCTTGCCCTCTGTGCTTCCACCTGTCAAATACCATTGAAGCTCAGAGACCGGGCCATCTCTCCCTGTAGCTTTCCCTGATGACCACCACCACCCCCGCCCCCTTCAGATTTAATTCTTCCCGTTGTAGCTCTACTGGGAGTTGGCACCCTGACCTGCTTTGTCACTCCTTGTCCACGACTGGCGCGTTTCCCATCCTGCTCTCTACCTTGATGGGAAGTGCCAAGACGACATCAGAGGGGCTGGGGCATCTACTGCTGAATGGCTCTGTGACTTCGGGTAAGGTACCAAACTTGTCTGAATCTCAATTTAGGAGATATTTAACCCATTTTACAGGCTTAATCTAAGATTAAGGAAGAAATGGGGCGCCTGGGTGGCTCAGTCAGTTAAGCGCCCAACTTTGGCTCAGGTCATGATCTCGTAGTTCGTGAGTTCAAGCCCCATGTCAGGCTCTGTGCTGACAGCTTGGACCCTGGAGCCTGCTTCGGAGTCTGTGTCTCCCTCTCTTGCTAACACTCCCCCGCTCACACTCTGTCCAAAAAAAAAAAGATTAAAGAAAAAATGTATGCGAATTTTTTTTGTACATTAAGCAATTTTATAAAAGGGAATTAATTTCACTGTTTCACTAGGGATGTCTGTGATGGCAGGCGGGAATGTCTTCTACTTCGTCTCCTCAGTAAATGGTAACAAAGCTGTTCTCTGTGTTTTGTACCAGCACTTAATAGAGCTTTGCAATGAGTAGATTTTCAATAATTTTGAAGATTGAAATAAAGTAGGGAGCTGGTACAGAAGCACAATTTTTATTCTGGGGAAACTACCAAAAGGTAGTCTGTGAGTCTCCAGTAAGCTCAGTGTTCAAGGATTTAGGATACACAGGAAAGACAGTTGATATTAGGAGATGATGGACGGTGGGGGGAGAGATGTTCTTGAACTAGACAAGTACCCTCAGCAAAGTTTTGCCTGAGGGCTAGAAATCAAGCTTACTTGGCTGGTAAAGGGTTAATAACGTCCTGAGGCTGATATTTGCAAATTACCAAATTCTGCCACTCGCATGTATTCTAAACGCCCACAGGATTTGTGTATCTATATCTGTGCCTAGCATCTCCATTATCATGTTAAAACCACTTCAGTATGCCTGTGTTATATTGGTTGCAGTACAATTTTACATCACTCTGGACACAAAGAAATCCAAAATGAAAGAGAACACAAGCTGCAACCATTTAAGGAAGGCTATTTATAATGTTCAGTAACAGTCGGTAACATATTGTCTGTATTAAAAGGTCATGGATTATCTATCTGCAAATGCAAAGAATAACATTTTGAGCTCTCTGAGCAAAGGTGCAACATGAATGCAAAATGGAACATAATCATCAGTGGACAGAGGAACAGTCTTAGGAATCTTACTTATTGGGTGACCTTAAATTAAAACGATCTTATTTCTGACGGAATGTGAGATGGGGAATGTGAGGTGAAGAGATAAGTCCAAGATTCAGCCAAGAAAGTGCTCTTTTCCCTGGAGAGTTCTGCATTTTAATGGGAAAGTGAGGGGTGTTTGTGGCAGGTCCTGTGGACTCCTACTCCACAGTGATCCCCTCTTCTATTTCTTGCTTTTTAATGGGGAAGCAGTGTGCCTGCTAGCTCCTAGGAAGGGACGACGATTGTCCTAAGGGAGTGGCAGTCCCAGTCTTTTCAAGATACTTGGATAAACTCTCAACGTCTCAGCTCTGGAGCTTCAGAGATAAGAGAAAGTCTGCGGGTTCTGAGAATTATTTTGTCATAATAAAAAAGAGACCAAAGAATAGAGTCCCACCCTCCCTGCTTTGCTGAGGACTTGGTGTTTGGCGAAGCAGGGGCCCTTTTGTGTCCAAGGAGATCCAAGAGAATCTGGGAGACAACAACTTGGACCCCTATTACTGAGCAGCTGAAGGACCCTTGGAACCGGATAGTTTCAAAGTTTTGTAAATAGTAGCTGTCTTTATGGTACCTTCTCCCCGTCGAGGAAGGAGGCGCCCTGCTTCAAATCTTTCCAGTTAAACTGAGGTTTAAAAGACTGCCTTGTGAGCCGGCAAAAGTCCGTGCAACTGAGGTACGGCAGTTCATCTCAGGACACTTCCTGGAACACTTTCTCTTGAGAGCATTGTGCTTTCAAAACCGAGGTATTTGGACGATGGTTATACATACGATTTCTGCCCTTTCCAGTTCACACAGGGAAGACTTCATTTACTCACTTACTCATTCAGAAAGTCGGTCAGTGAACAAAGGACCTTGTAAGTCCCAGCTACCACTATGTGCTGATGCTAAAGGCACAAACGAGAGTCTCTGCCCTCCTGGAGACAGGAAACCAGTTCAACAGAAAGTGACAGTTGAGACCCCTGCTGCCAAGGGCGTCCCAAGAGAGAGGAACTGGGAGACAGGGGTGGGGGTGGCAGCAATGATCAAGGAAATCTGAGAGAGGAGAGATTCCTAGTGTGCTGCAGGAGCCCTGAAGAAGTCAACTGAGAAGCGAGGACAGCAGTGGGATGGAGAGGGGAGACACCAAGGCGTGCAGGCCGTAGAAATGGTGGAACTCGGAGGAGAGAGTGGTTCGAATCAAGGATGGCTCACAGGTTGCCGGTCCGGACACGTGGGGAGACGGAAGGCACGTGCGTTAGCGTGGTCGCCACTCTCTGCCCCTCCCTGCATACACTCAGCCCTTTCAAATGTGGCTTCAGCTCCCGCCACTAAGCAGTGGGGTGTATCTTCCCCTCTTGAATTTGGGCCGCATTGTGTCTCGCTTTGGCCCACAGAGCGCAGCAGGGGTGATGGGTTCCACCCTGGAGCCTGGGGTTCAAGAGGCCTTTTCTGCCTCTGCTTCCACTCGCTGCCCAGCCACCACTGGAGCAAACTCGGGCCAGCCTGCGGGGTGGGCAGAGACCTGTGACTCCCTCCCCCATCGCAGCTGACCGCCTGCCCGCCGCCGCCCACCCCCTGCGAGCTCTCCGCAGATACGCGAAAGGACCCAGCCTCGGTCAGCTGCTTCTGGCCTAGATTAGGATAAGCCCTCCACTGACCTACAGACTCGCGAGCAACTGTGGGGGATCGTCGCTTTAAACCATCAAGTTTCATGCAGTTTGCCATGCAGCCAAAGCCAGCTGACTCAACCAAGAGAAAGGGGCGAGTAAGGCCGGGGCCGCCCAATAGGCAACTGGACATTTGAGGTGGGTACACAGGAGGCCAGAAGCATGAAGCTCTGAACCTGCAAGGATAAAATCCCAAGGCTTCTGCCTTCCTACGGTGGGCTCCCCAAACCCGAGAGCAGGCCACTTTTCCCTTTTGTGTCCTCTACTTCCACTCCCCATCCTCACCGACCTTCATTTTAGTACTTGAGTAATAAAGCAAATGCCTGACTCAAGTGCAGACAGCAATGGAGAATCAGTCCAGAGCCAAAGCTCCCAGGGGACGGAATGTGCATTGAGGGTTCCCTAATGAGTGGATTCAGCCAAGGCCAGCAGCGAGGGGCGACGGGCGACGGGCGAGGGTCGGGCGGGGAGGCCGAGTTGCAAACAATTACTGCCTGGAAGGGGCCTTCACATAACTGGAGCCAGGTCACGAATTCAGGACTCCACCCCCCTCTTTCTTCCCTATTAATGTCATCCCTTAGCACCTTTGGAAATAAACAGGGCCACTGCACTCAACAGGAATTTATCCCTCCCGTTGTTGCGGAGACACCCGACTGAGCGCACCTTTCCCTCTTTCGTTCCTCCTCCAGCTCATGGGGCTCTCAGCTTCACCCACCGGCCCAGGGACCCGGGTTCGTCTCTGCGGTAAGGAGGGGCCCCCAGGTCTACGCAGGCACAGCCTGACGCGGGGCCTCCCACGCACTCGCGGGACGGCGGCGGTCCTCCCAGGGGCCGGAGGCGGGAGCCGCGCACAGCGCGTCAAGGGCCTAGGCGGCGCGCACGCCCGCGGCCACCGGCCCCCTCGGCTCTCCCAGCGCGTCCCCTCCCGGCCGCCGCGGGAAGGGGCGGGAGGAGGAGGAGGAGCCGGAGGCGGCCGCCGCGCCCCCACCGCGCGCGCCGAGCCCTTTAAAACCCGCGGGGCCCCGCGCGCTCCGCCGGCCGCCGCGCTGCCCGCGCTCCCGCGTCCCCGCGCGCTCTGCTGGCCGCCGCGGCGCTGCGGCCGGGCTCGGCAGGCTTGCGCTCTCGGCGGCGGGTCCCGCTCGGCCGGCGCGCCCTCCATGCGGCCGCCCAGCATGTCCGGGCACTGTCTGCTCGCGCCCATCCCCGAGTCCTCCTCCGATTGCCTCCCGCCCAAGGACATCAAGCTGGCCGTGCTGGGCGCCGGCCGCGTGGGCAAGAGCGGTGAGTGCCCGGGGGGCCGCGCCGGGAAGGGGGGAACCGGGCTTCGGGGAAGAGCCGGAGCTCTGGAGCGGCGGGAGGCGGGGTGGAGCGCGGGGAGAAACCTGGAAGTTTCGGCGCCGGCCCCGGCTCTCCCCCGCCAGCCCGCTTTTCCCGCTGCTTCCCCGGGGCGTCTACTCCAGGGCTCCCTCCCGCCCGGGTTGGCACCTGCTGGAGAATGGCGGGGGGCTGGTGCGGCAGGCCGGGCACCTGCAGTCACACCCCGACGCGCGGGAGACCGCGACGGCCGCACCCTGGGTGTTGCAGAGCCGTAGGACTGGGGCAGTACCCGCTGTCCTGCGGCCCATCGCCCCCTCCTTTTCCTCGAGAGCGTCCGGGGTGACTGTTTGGTTCCAGTCGTTTAGCGGACTTCCCCATGGTTCCCTTTCAGCAATGATCGTGCGCTTCCTCACCAAGAGATTCATCGGCGATTATGAACCGAATACAGGTTAGAATAATTTCGTGCTCTCTGCTTCCGTGGCTGCATGCTCCGAGCTCCGGCTTTCTTTCTCCTGACAGGAGGCTAGGAATTTAAAAGCAAACTCTCCTTCACTCTCCAGGCAAGTTGTATTCGCGGCTCGTCTACGTAGAGGGGGACCAGCTATCCTTGCAGATTCAGGACACCCCCGGGGGCATCCAGGTAAGGACCGCCCGAAGCAAACAGCTCACCACCTTGCACACACGGGGGCGGGGGAGGGCTCCCAGGCTTGAGCAGGAGGTCTAAACACACCCGTTTTGCCTTTAGATATAGAAGTGGGCTGTCCCCAGGTGGGGGCTTAGAAACCCTCCTGGGGGCTCGGGCAGGGTGGGTGGATGGTTAGGGAGGCAGCATCCTGGTGTCCGTCACCCTCAAAGGAGAGAGATACGTGACCTTTCTTTACAACCCTAGTGGGGCATCACTGCTTGTAGGGATGGGTCCTCCCCAGCTTCCAGAACTGGGCCAGGAAACCGTTAACAAAATTATTGGGGTGGGATTCTGGGGAGGGGCTCCTCCCCTAGCAGGGACTGCTGACGTGCTTCTTAACTGTTCCCTCAAGTTAGTAATTGCAACCAGATAAGCCCTTGGCAAGCAGTCAGGAATTTAACTTGATTAACAAGTTATTAATTGCGCTCCCTTCTAGGGAGGCAAGGTCTAGTGGAAGAACAGAAAGAAGGAATTTGTTTCTGTAACATTCTCAAAAAGGGCATGCTAAAAATATTTTTATGGGCTTGGGAAGATATTTATCTTGGCTTGTTTTCAAAGTTTTGTTTATTCCCAGTTCCCTAAAGATTGCGCCATTCTAATTTGAAAGTTCTCGTTGAAGTCATCCTTCAGTCAGCCAGGGCTCACCACAGAATACCTGCCAAGCAGGGGGCCGAAAGATCGAGCATTAGTGGCAGCCAATAAAATAACCCAGGCAGGGAGCTGGCCCGAAAATTTGTTCTCCCTGCAGCCAGAGCCGCCTTCCGCAGAAGCTAGGTGGAGTCTGAAAACTGTACTTACGATTTCTTTTTCGAACTTGTTTTCCCGAGGGTCCCTTTGATCTTATTTTGAGTCCGCTCCCTCTGCGGGCTTCCTTGATCCAGACTCGCGTTGATCTTTCTCAGGTCCAAGACAACCTCCTCCAGGTAGCTGATCCTCTGTCCAGGTGCGTGCAGTGGGCAGACGGCTTTCTGCTGGTCTACTCCATCACGGACTACGACAGCTACCAGGCCATCCGCCCCCTTTACCAGCACATCCGGAAGGTCCACCCTGACGCCAGGGTCCCCGTCGTCATCGTGGGCAACAAGGGGGACCTTCTGCATGCCCGGCAGGTGCAAACGCGTGATGGCGTTCAACTAGCCAACGAGCTGGGCAGCCTGTTCCTTGAAATTTCCACCAGTGAAAACTACGAGGACGTCTGCGATGTGTTTCAGCACCTCTGCAAAGAGGTGAGCAAGTCGCACGGCGTCAGCGGGGACAGGAGGAGAGCCTCCATCATTCCCCGGCCGCGCTCTCCCAACATGCAAGACCTCAAGAGGCGCTTCAAGCAGGCTCTGTCTTCCAAAGTCAAAGCCCCCTCTGCGCTGGGGTGAACCCGGCTCACCCAGACTCGCCTCCTTTTTACTGAGCGTTTGTGCAGCCGAAAAGACTGGGGATCTCCCTTTTTAGCCGCACATTCAAAGTTTATTTTTATACAGACCGTTGGTTTTCGAGTGTATGTGTGTTTCTGAAAATTCAGTGATTGCCTAGAAGTTGGATAGTTTGTTTGTTTTTTTTTATTAAACTAATTTTTTTTTTTTTTTTTTTTTTACTGTAACTGCTAGCCACTTTTCCATTAAAGGCAAAATGGCAACATGGCTCCTTGTTTTCTAAATGTCTTTTTATAGATCATACTTGCACCAGAGCCCAGAACGGCTCCACACTTGCCCTCAGTCTGAACTCCTGTTGGTGTCTTGCGGTAAGGGGGTTGATGTAGGGGGATCTGTTGTGGGAGAAAGGAAAGAATGTGCAGGAGGAAAGACTTGAGCAACTGTAGGATGTCTTTAATTAGGGCGCTTTGCCACAGGCATGAAATTGACACCATGTGATTTTCAGGGAAAGGGGTTCATTATCCGCTGGTGCTACAAAATTACAAACAAGAGTAACAGTTTTATTTGTTGGTGCAAATGCTCGTTTATCCTCTCCACCCTGTTCTAAAAACTAAAAATGCCTTAGGTCAGTAACCGCACCCTACCCAGAGTGGTGAAAAATTCTTCCTGCTCTGCCTCCCGGACCCTCACATCTAACAGGGCATCTGAAGGGTCCATTCCCCTCTTTTTCTCTAAAGCGTCACTCTGCCACAATCTAGGCCTGTACAGGTGTCGCCCAGACTGGCAGGGAAGGTGAGACTGGTTTCTTGGTTTCTGGAATGACACCCCTCGCATGCTTTCTTCACATCAGGACAACCTGGCTAAAACCAACCCTAATCTCTTTATTTTCATGGCTAAAGAAACTCAGCTGTTTTCCCCTTATCTACTGGGTAAAATATAAATGAGGCATGGCATCGAGATCATTTACCACCTCTCCAGCCTTATCATCCCCTCCTTCAAGCGCGCGCCCATACACACACACACACACACACACACACACACACACACACACACGATGGACTGAAAGCCCATTCAACAGAACGGTCTGCCGTTCTCAATACATACAAGGCTCTGTCACGCTTCCTGCCTTAGCACGAACCAGTCCCTGTGCCTTGAATACATTTTCCTCTTCTCCCCCGAAAAGATCACAAACTCATTTTTCAAGCCCCAAGTCCTGTGCTGGGCTCAGCTCCCGGGGTGCCGTCTCTCCGTCTCCCTGTAGCATTTGTGTGAAACCCAGCCACACCATGCAGCTACTTGTCACCCCCGTTGCAACTGCATTTTATGACTTTGTATCCCAAGCTTCTGGCCTCCAGCTTGCACAGAGTGGTAAGTTTTCAGTAAATACTTGAATAATACGAGCTGCATGCGTTGATTTTGATGCCAAGGGACAGTGATGGGAAGTTACGATGAAACAATGTCACTTCCGCAGAATAAGGAAAGGAGGTGTTCCGAGTAGTTAGAGGTACTCGATTGGCAGCGACAGAGAGGAAGGGACACATATGTAGCTTCTGGTCATTTCAGACCATTACCCTGCCTTCCAGGGATCCCTGTGTCCACATCTGTGCTGTTACCATCATTCTTCCCTGCACTTGAGGGGTGTCTACCTGGGGTGACTACCTGTGCTAAATGGCATTGAGGGATTACAAAAATCAGATAGTTCAAGGGGCGCCTGGGTGGCTCAGTCGGTTAAGCATCTGACTTCAGCTCAGGTCACGATCTCGCGATCCGTGGATTTGAGCCCCGCGCTGGGCTCTGCGCTGACAGCTCGGAGCCTGGAGTCTGCTTCGGATTCTGTGTCTCCCTCTCTCTCTCTGCCCCTCCCCCACTCGCGTTCTGTCTCTCTCAAAATAATAAACATTAAAAGACACTTTTTTAAAATAAAAAAATTAAAAACCCCCAAATTAGATAGTTCATGCCTAAAGCAGCATTGAAATAATCAAGGGAAAATAATATAGTTTTGGATTCTATTATGTTTGAAAAAGTGCCTAGTCCTCCTTGCTGATTCGCAAGCACAGAACTAAAGCAGTTCTTTCTATCATCGGCCATTCCTGCTTCTAACCATACATCTTCCCTTCGGAGGTTAGGACATGAAAACCACAGTTGTGCTAGTTACCGCTATGCCCACAGCCTGCCGAGATCTCCACTCTGCGCAGGGAGGGGGCTCCTTTGCCTCTAAGGAGCTGAGCCCAAATCCCATGGGAATAAGGCATCCCACATCCCAAGGGGAAAGCCCTACTGTAGCAGCGAAAGAACAACACAAGAGATGTCCCAAGGCTGCCTATGAAGAAGTTCCAAGTGAGGGAATGTTGAGGACAGGAAGTACCCTTGAGCTCTCCAGGGGAGAGCACAGTGTGGACCAGAGGGGTCAAAAGTCATGGGGCAGTTCCAAAGGGAGGAGCAGAGCCGCTAGGGACCCCGGGGCCAAGCAGAAAAACACCCCGCATGGTATTTTTCCTGGCCTCGGCATCACAAATAACTGACCTGGGCCTCAAAGCTTCCTCTCTTTCTGGTTGCCAGAACGGACCCAGGGGACGACCCGGGTCCCTGGTCTCACGGGGACCTCCATGCCTGTTCCCTAGACCTCCTGCTGAGGGGCGAGGTGCACGGGGCAACATCCAGAAGGCCCCCCAGTAGCAGCCGTGCAGATGTGAGAGAGGAACATGGAGTTCATGGTGGGAGGACACTTAGGGTGGGACGTTGTTGGATTTGTGTGCAGGAAAGAGGATGTGAAGATTTGGTCTTGACTGGGTGCAGAGGAGGCCCTTAGAGTGGAAGCTGAGCTCCCAGCTAGCGTCCCTCTGCCTCAGGAGTGGGGGTGGCAGAGCCCTGGGTGTCGCTTCGCCCCTGGTGGGGACACACCTCCTGGAGCTTTGGGGAGAATATTGGAGAGGTGGGGAGGTGGGGAGGAGACTCTCTACATCTCCATCATAGGTGTGCCGTACCTCCGGGGTGTCATCCTCACTGTCACCTCCGTCCTCACGCCCCGCCCCCGCCCCCACCCCTCACCCCTCACCCCCAACCCCTCCCCCACATCTGTTTTTGAGATTCCCCCGTCTCCACTGACACCACTCATCCCCCTTCCGGTCAAGGCTCCGTGCTAATGCTGCTCTGAAACTGCAGAATGATTTAATTAATGAGCCTATTTAATTAATGGTCCTGGAGATAATGGAGAAGCTCCAAATGACTACACTGTACATCCGGGAAGCGTTCTGTACGCCATGTGCCACTCGTGGAGAGCAAACTCGAATAATGGAAAACGAGACCCATTATAGCCTCAGAAGATAAATCTGCTTTGCCTGGGTTGAGGTGAAGGGCACAGCGGAAGTCCCGAAGTTTATTCGTATCTCCTTGGAGGAACGGATGAAAATAAGTCGCCGTGGAAGGCAACGGAGCAGATGGGAGAGACAAGATGACTGTTTAGTCATGAACTTGGGGCTCGAATCGCTTTTTTGTTCCACGTGTGTGTTGTCATTTCGGCTTCTCGCCGTGCACAGTCACCAGTCCGAATTTACGATGCGATGAAATTTGGGACGATTCATAACTTATTCTTACCATTTGACCCCTCTCCAAACGGTGGAGTCTTTTTCAGGACTTTGTTAAAATTGGTCTTGAGCCACTCGGACACCCAGTGAGAAAGGGGTGATACATAAAAAAAAATCCCAACCACCCTGAAGTTCTCTAGGGGTCTAGGAAAAATGAACCGTCGTAAGCAATGATTAGTTGGCAACCGCAAAAACGGTTTTCCATATACCGCGCAGAAATTTGTCCATCCTGGCTCGGTCGGCCCTCGCCTTCGGATGCCCGCATGCACCTCTGCCCCAGGAGGAATGAGCTCCTCTAGTGGTCGCCTGCTGGCTCATCCCCAGCCACGACACCTGCCGTAGTGTCCGGTAGAAGCCAGGATCCTCAACGTTTGCTAAGGTGAGCCATCAGAAAACTTAAGGAGCATTTCCAGTTACTTGGGTACAGCCAGGAGGGCAGTGCTGTGTGTATCTGTATTCTGGGCTCCCGCTGTCAAACGATCCGAATTGGCCCTTTACCCATGCTCCACGGCATGGCTACGTGAACAAAATTAGTATTACTGCTTTTGGTTTTCCTCCTGTCTTTCTAAAGACCACCACGGTAGTGATTTGCACGGTTTCAAATCACATTTATGGAGACCCTGCTTCCCACAAAGCTCTGTGCCAGATGTCATTGTGATCAAGAGAGCTGTCCCTCTCCAGAAACACGGTCCCGAGGGAGTTCTAGGGAGTCCGCCTTGAGGGTGGGACTCGGGAGGATGAAAGGCGAAAACAAGATTCGGACCCGAATCTCAGGGTGTTGGGGAGCCTGGGTGGCTCAGTCGGGGAAGGGTCCGACTTCAGCTCAGGTCATGATGTCACGGTTCGTGGGTTCGAGCCCCGCGTCGGACTCGGTGCTGACCGCTCGGAGCCTGGAGCCTGCCTCCGATTCTGTGTCTCCTTCTCTCTCTCTGCCCCTCTCCCGCTTTCACTGTCACTCTCTCTCAAAAATAAATAAACATTAAAAAAAAAAGAAACGTTGTTAACAGCAAAGCTTACTTACATAAACAAATTTTGCCTGGAAATACTACCGTGTATTTATGACTGTGGAAAATCAGGGAAATTTAGGGAGCTCCTGCTGATGAGACAGTTACCAGCTTTATGAAGGTAGCACAGTGTGGCTCCCAGACTGAGATTGGGTTCAAAGCCCACTTTACCTGGGTCAAGGTGCAGTATGGGTTTCCTTCTCTTAAAACGGGCATAACAGTACCCATCAGGCAGGATTGTTGCCAGAGCTTGACACATAGAAGGCATTCAGGAAGTTGTAATTTATTATTATTATTATTATTATTATTATTAATAGTTTCAGTTTTTTATTATTTTTTTAAAGGTACACTGGTACATTTACGAAGCTGCTTTTGGAAAAAGAGTGCTTTTTGAGCTTGCTCGTGTACTCCAAAA